TTTAAAATATTGGAATTAATTTTGTTATGACTTCTTGGTTTCCTACAATTATTGCTAATGTATTGAGTTCAAAATTAATTATTGCATTCATTTTTTTTTAAATATAACCTATTATACCATCATTTTTACAAGGAAGATCTTTAAATATGAAAAATTTAATTTTTACCGGAATTTGTTCTATTTCTAAAGTTAAATATGTATACCCTATTGCATTCACATGTCCTCCAATTCCACTTACTTCCATTCTTTCCTCATAGATTGTATCATATTTATCCAGGCATTCACGCTTTATAAGCTTTATAAGGTGCATAAAGAAGCACCTGTGTCTAACAGAAAATTCAATTTTTTGTCATTCATGCAGCATTCAATGGAACTCATACACACATTATTACACATATAAATTTGCTTATTCATTGCATTTTCGAAAAAACTGACTTACGTCATTATGAGAAATATTACTATCATTACTCGAGGTACCAGTGACCTACTTTGAATATTGCCTGATTCGTCATTTTTAATGAAATACACATTTCCTGGTCTAGATCTCTGATCCGACCATCGACCTTTAACGCTTCCTCTAAAAAGCTGTCGTGAGCTTCTTGTTCTGCCCCTGTTACCATTTTCATAATTTTGTGGATTTTTGTTAACTTGTGTAGACCTAAAATTTGAATTGGAATATTGATGCGATTGAAACCCTCTTTGTCCTTGCCTGTAATGATTAAAACGTCTAGAATTTGCAAATTTTCCGCGATTGGTAATAATCATAATTTGAGACTGGTTACATTGTGACATTTCCTCATCTTGTGCTACTCGTATGGCTTCACGTAAAGAAGAAAAATTTCTGGCGGATATTATTGTACCAATTTTTGGATTTCGTAATCCATCCGCGAAACGTCTTATAGCGGTTTTCTCATTTAATGGACGCAATATACCATGCGCATTAGGATTATCATTAGACTGTGAAATAGTTAGGTTAACAAAAAGATCTTGCAATTCTTTACCAAACTCTTCAATGGATTTGTTACCTTGTTTAGCTTTTAAAAGTTGCAATTGTAAAACTGTATCCGAACTCTTAGTTAAAAGATATCTTTTAATATCATCGATTAAAGTTGGTACTGTTTCATAGTTTACAGATAATCTAAGTTTCGCACTTTGAGATAATCGAGTTTTTAAAACAAATTTTATTAAATTATGTTTACCATCATCATTGAGCATAGAGTCATACAGTTCTATAGCATCTATTAGTTGTTTAGTGACATTTTCATCATCTGTCATTATTGGTAAAAGACTTACAGCGACATTAAGGTCAAATGAACTCATTGTAACGTTTTCGCTTTTCTTAATATCGAAATCTAAAATTTGCGAAAAAATTTGGTTTATATCCTTTACAATATTATTTGTGAGAATTACCTCTTCTCGACCTAATTCTGATTTTTCAATTTTTATCCGTATAGCTTTGATAATATCCTGTACTTGTTTGTAAATGTCACGAGCTTCATTTAATTTTATTTCTAAAATATTACCTTTACTACGTCTATCAGGACCTATCTTTATTAAATAAACTCTTATTTAGTTCCCCTTTATTTATTAATTAAGGGGAACCCTACACCTATCGTTCCACAACGCGAGCCGAACCCGACATCCGCAGAAGCAGCCGCGGCCGTGCAGAAACGCTTCCTGCACGCATCCAGCGTGTCCTGGGGATTCTTAGGGATACCCCCAGCCACGTCGTCATCCCCAAAACGTGTCCACAAACGACCGCGTTCGTGGACATGGCGCCCAGCACGTGAGGCTTGAGTAACCGATATCCAGGTTACCTACACAGGCAAGGGAGCCTGTGCAATCCCAGCGAAGCATCTTCGACGACTACCAGGCCTAGTCCAGGTCCACTAGGCCTCCACCAGTTCCAATCCAGGTCCACCAGGTCCACTACGTCCACGCTAGGCCTACTCCAGGTCTACTACGTCCACCCTAGGTCTGCTCCAGGTCCTCCAGGCCCATACTAGGTCCGCTCCAGGTCCACCAGGTCCACCCTAGGTTTGAAGACCATTTTTGTAAAAAATAAATCCAACAAAAAATAGAATAAAATAAATAAAATAAAAAAAATAAAATAAAATGCCGATTCAAACTCAATTTGCATAATTTTGGGTTGAAAATAGATGTCCCGGTAGACGGGCTCTGGAGGGGTCTTCTTGATTTTGAAGTTGATGTCCAAAAAGATATTCGTGGTTTAAAATAGTCGAAAATAAGGCCATCAATAGCCCACAGTTCATTCTGGCTCAATTTGCATAATTTTGGGTAGGAAATGACTGTCCCGGCAGACGCGCGCCAGGGGGGTCTTCTTGATGTTGAAGATGATGTCTAAAAGGGTATTTGTGGTTTAAAATAGCCGAAAATAGGACCACCGGTAAGTGATTCATATTATTTGGGCTACCCTGTAGCCTGCAAATGCATGCAAATAACTGCAATAAACGAGATCGGCCGTCTAAACTCGCCGAGGTCGACGGTAAGCCATTCACTTCGCTGTGGCCTCACATTCTCATTTAATTACGTGCAACATATTATATTTTTCTAAAGATGTCCATTACTGTTTCTACATACAAATTAGGTGCAATAATAATAATAAATAGGCAGTAATAACTGAGTATAATTTGCTGATGCAATGAGGCTATTCGAGTACAGCACGTTTGACTTTCAAAAAAATGGTTTTAAGTTTGTATATATATATATAAACAGAAAATTGTTTCTATATACAAATGAGAAATTTTGACTTTAATCAAAGTATAACAGTTACAGTGTCTTTGTAAGTAGAAGTACAACAGTTAATGTACAGTGTTTTCGTCAACTACCGTAATATACAGTGACAATGAAAAGATATATGTTATTTAGACAATAATTATTGTAGAAATAATTATATCTCGTCTGTTAGTGAAACAAAGTGAGTATATCAATGTTTTTTAAAGATTTCTTATTTATTCAATAATAATTTATTTGAGCACCGATATTTTCAGTATGATATAATATTTGTTATATAATTCTGTTCAACATCTTGTTTCCCAATGACATATTCATAGTCGCAGTCGCGATTCTCGTGAGAATATACAGTGATCATGAAAAATTAGGATAATATTTAGATAAATATTTTTAAAATAATTATTCAATATATTATAAAGGTTTCTATTTGTACGGAAATCTAATTGAGCAAATAATATAATAATAATATTTATTATCTCCAATTTAAAGTACAATGGCATAACATTTGACAGACATTTTAGGATGATTTAATATTTATAACATAATTGTGCTTAACCTCTTCTTAAACTATTAAAGCAAAGAAAAAGGAGTGGAAACTATCCGACATTACTCAGATAATTAATATTTCATGTTAATTAAAAAAGTAACTTGTTTACTTTTAGGAAAATTTCAATTTATGAAGAATTCTTAAGAAAAAGCGTGTTGTATTTTAGTTTTAAACCAAGATCTTCAATCTAACTGGAAGAGCTAGAAAATTGTTTCTATATACAAACGAGAAATTTTGACTTTAATCAAAGTATAACAGTTACAGTGTCTTTGTAAGTAAAAGTACAACAGTTAATGTACAGTGTTTTCGTCAACTACCGTAATATACAGTGACAATGAAAAGATCTATGTTATTTAGACAATAATTATTGTAGAAATAATTATATCTCGTCTGTTAGTGAAACAAAGTGAGTATATCAATGTTTTTTAGATTTCTTATTTATTCAATAATAATTTATTTGAGCACTGATATTTTCAGTATGATATAATATTTGTTATATAATTCTGTTTAACATCTTGTTTCCCAATGACATATTCATAGTCGCAGTCGCGATTCTCGTGAGAATATACAGTGATCATGAAAAATTAGGATAATATTTAGATAAATATTTTTAAAATAATTATCCAATATATTATAAAGGTTTCTATTTGTATGGAAATCTAATTGAGCAAATAATATAATAATAATATTTATTATCTCCAATTTAAAGTACCATGGCATAACATTTGACAAACATTTTAGGATGATTTAATGTTTATAACATAATTGTGCTTAACCTCTTCTTAAACTATTAAAGCAAAGAAAAAGGAGTGGAAACTATCCGACATTACTCAGATAATTAATATTTCATGTTAATTAAAAAAAGTAACTTGTTTACTTTTAGGAAAATTTCAATTTATGAAGAATTCTTAAGAAAAAGCGTGTTGTAATTTAGGTTTAAACCAAGATCTTCAATCTAACTGGGAGAGCTACGGTTTAAAAAAATATAATAATTATTAAATATATAAAATTTATTTATAAATTACAAAAGTGCCAATGCGTTTCATGTGTAATAAATTATCAAAAGTATCATCATCAATGTTGCATTCTGTATCTACAGTGTCATAACCACAATTGTCACAATGAATGTGGCCAAGCGTATGATTATGAATTAAATCTATAAACGCTACTGGTTCCTTATAACAATACTGATAACCTTGCAATAGGGTATTTAACCAATCATTATAGAAATTAACTTCTAATAAATAATTTTTACATTTTAAACATAATGATATATCTGGTATCACATTCATTGGACTCCATAATAAATATACTTGATTATATGACACAAAATCAGAACTGCAATATGAATCCATGAAACTGTCATCCAAGGTCCTTAAGTACGTCCGATAGGATTGAAATATGTCTGATCCATAACATTCGTCGTCTTCATTGAACTGTATGTTGGACACGGTCATCACATTCTGCTCTGATCGTGTTGGTAAAAATTTAAATCTTGGTGATCTAAAACAGAATACTCACATTCAATTTACACACCCTTATTCAACTACAATTACCTTCGGCACTTAATTGATCTTCTATGGAATAACTCATTCTCATATTCTTTAACCTCGCTGGTGTTATGTCTGTTTATATAACAATATCTTCGAACATTAGTAATTCTCACTCTGACTAAATAACTAAATATAATCACTAAAGAGAGAGGTGTTCTATGAAAAACGAGGACTAAAAATGTTCTTAGATACAGTTGCATTTATACACGTATATGATTTAGTAACAATAACTGTATGTATGAAGGACATTTATAGAAAATTAATATTCTAGTAAGCAGATATTAGCAATTGACCTCTTTTAATTTTTTTAATGTATGCGCGCCAACAAATGCAACCTCGTTGAAGTAATTCCGCTTCCCTTTCACTCAGTATTATCATATAAAAGCAGACTCGACAATATTAGTGGCATTACTTCATCAGTCTCACCAATTTCCATACAACAACAGGTAAGTCTATAATCCTTTTATCTTCAATCTAGTTACTAAACATTTTATTTATTTATTCCTAGAATGGATCTTACAAAACTAAATGAACGGTCACTTTTAGCTTTCAAACCAACAAAGTCGATAAAAGATTTGGAGATTGGAAGAAAATATTCAATCTCTAAAATTAAAAAAGTGACAACAAAGTATGGGGAAAGCTTGGTAGCAGAGTTGGATGAGTATCAGGTGTTCCTACCCAATCGACTCATGGGAGAAATAGGAGATCATTTAGATGAATTTGAAGATAACCGATACAGCATAGTCAGCCACGGTGAGAAAAGCAATGATACATTAAATTTTTCAAAAACTGTTGCCATAGAATTCCTTAAAAATATATAATTTAAGGTGATAAATATGGATAATTTAAGTGACGATATAGTAAAAATTGTTGGAAAAATTTTTTTAAATTTAAGTCGTTCAAAAAATGTGAAAAATGAAACTTTGTTAAAATATATATCATATTGTAACGAGAATATTAGGTCGATGAATAATGCTCTTTTAAACGTTGAAAGTAATATATCACTTAAAACTAAACTTCAAACAAACATTGGTCATTTGAGAAAATACAGACAGTTGTTAAGATCTCTTGATAATATTTATCTGGGCGGTGGTTTATCTGAAAATAAAAAATTAAAATTAACACCAAAACGAAGCCAACGAATTCGGTGGGAAGATGGAAAATCTGCATTTTCAAGTAGAATTCGAAGCGGTTTAGTAATAAATATTCTTCATACCGATCCATTGGAATTTTTAAAGGATTCATTTTTTTTATTTAAACCCAGAATTTTAAATGAATTAAAAAAGGATCCAACAGTTAAAGTCAATGCGGTGTTGTGTTGTGAATTTATTAAAGAAAGTGTTGATGAGGATAAGCAAGTTAGACAATTTAAATATTTTAATACGAAAAATAATTTAATTGATTTAGGTACGGATTTGTGGCAATGGTATCGAGATAATATTAGTGACAAAATAATGAACAAGTTAACGGAATTTCATGAGGGGCAAAGTGGCTGGGCACTCAACCGCATTGAAAGCCTAGAAATTAACATTAATAAATATGAATTTTCTAATGGAGGTACATCATATATTGAACTTCCGCAAGAAATTAAATTGAAAAGAGCCGTGATAAATATCAAAAATACCGATCAGTTCTGTTTTGCCTATGCTGTTGTAAGTTGTCTGCATCCCGCACAAAAAAATCCGGATCGTATTAGTTCATATCCCGACTTTCATACTGTATTGAATTTTACAGGAATAAATTTTCCTGTGACCATAGAACAAATACCGAAATTTGAAAAATTAAATAATATTTCCATTAATGTTTACATATTAAAATTAAATGGGAAAATTTATTCCGTTGTTCCCGCGTACATTTCAAAGGAAAAATTACCGACGCATGTAAATTTGCTTATGATTCAAAACAAATATTACTCAGATAATGACGTTAATTATGCGAAAAATCAAAAAAATTTTGAAATCAAATTTCATTTTACCTGGATTAAATATCTTTCGAGATTGCTTTCGAATCAGCTTACAGGAAATGGCCATGCAGTATTTATTTGTGATAGATGTTTAAATTACTTTCGACATCAAGCACAGTTAGATAAACATGAAGTGGAATGTGCGCGAGTTAATACATGTAAAATTTCGTTCCCAGAAGACAAATATTTATTTTTCAAAAATTTTAAATATAAGGAACCTGCTCCTTTCATTGTTTATTGCGATTTTGAAGCTTTACTAAAACCGTTGGATGATATTAGCGGGAGTAAAACGGAGAGATATCAAAAGCATGAAGCATTTGCCGTGGGTTATTATTTCAATTGTAGTTATGATAAAAGTCTGTCTCACTATAAAAGTTATGTAGGATTAGACTGCGTGCAGTGGTTTGTAAGGGAACTAGAAAATATTGGTAAATTTGTGGATGAAAAATTAAAATTGGTAGTTCCCATAGAATACTCTTCCATAGAAGCTCAAAATCAATTTAAAAAAACAACTTGTCATATATGTACGAAACCGTTTAATGAAGAAGATAAACCCGTTCGCGACCACTCACATCTCGACGGCAAATTTAGGGGCTGGTGTCACTCCAATTGCAACTTGAATTATAAAAACACCTTCATTGTTCCCGTAGTTTTTCACAATTTGACGGGGTATGACAGTCACGTGATGATTAAAGATGTAGCTCAGCTATGTCCTGGTCGTATAACGCTGTTGGCGAAGAATAAAGAACAATACATTTCGTTTACCAAACATATTCCAAATTCTTCGATAAAATTTAGGTTTATAGATTCATTTAGATTTCTAACATCATCGTTAGATAAATTAGCATCTATTTTACGGAAAGAAGATTTAAAAATATTAAAAACTGAATTTTCCCATTTAAATGGTGAATCTTTTAACTTAATTACTCGAAAGGGAACATTTCCATATGATTACATAAATTCCATGCAAGTTTTGAAAGAAACATCACTTCCTAGTTCGACTGATTTTTATAACAAGTTAAATGATGAAGATATTTCAGAAGATGACTACAATCACGCTCAAAAGGTGTGGAGNATAGCCGTTACTGCATCTAGATCATTGCTACTTCGAATCAGAACCAGTTCCTGCTTCATATTTAGTATAATTTTTCTATAGTCTTCGAAAAAGCCCAGTAGCATTTTAAGAGGAATGCATACATTAAACTTGTCGCCTTCGAGTGTGCTTTGTTTGGGAAACCATCCAGAATTCTGAAGTTTAACGCTCTCGCTTTCATTGTACGATAGATACCCCTTCAACGTTGACGTTAGTCCTACGTTTCTAACGGAATCGATGATTACTCCATTCATTTCATATCGAATTTCACTGAAGAGAAAACTGAAGGCGTTATTTATAAGTTTTAATTTGGTAACCGATTTTCCATCCTCTGTAGTCAAATTTCCTTCCAAGTATAGCATACTTTCACAAAATAAAGTATAGATGTCCAATTCCTGAAGTGATATCCTTACTTCATCATTGTAGTCCAATTTAGAGGTCACGAAAGGTTGATAATTGTGGTGCTCCAAGTCGACAATGGAATTGTCGATGAGAGGTTGCTGCATAACATCTAGTATATCCATTATATGAGAACTTCAAAACCCAGAGACTTCAGGAATCTCTTTTCTTCCGGTGTTACTTTAATAACGTTCTTCTTCAGACTAACGGCTGATTGGTTTTTGGATCTTCTTTTATAACTGCGTTTCGTCGTAATATTTGGTCGACAACATTTTGTATTGTAGCGAACTACCATCTCTAGAGCTTTCGAAGATTTAATCTGACTGAGATAGTTGCCTCACGAAAATTTATAAGATTTCTGTCCTGATCGAGTATTTTAACAGTCAAGTTGTTGATCGTCTTAACGGTTACGGGGAAGTACAAGATATTCAAAGGTGATTCCACTATTTTATATCCTGGTCCCACGGTTGGAAAAAACTGATGAATAATGTGAACAGGTTTTTCGTTGAAATATGAACCTGCCGCTATGTTACAATCTATACATATAGCATTGAATTTAATTATTTGGACAGGAAAATCAGACTCGTTCAGTGTATTAGCTTTAATAATTCTTTTTTTGAAACCCAACAGACGTCCTATGGATTTCTCATTTGTAAAATCTATGTCAACATTAGTATCAATGCTGACAGTTGATGTATTTCGATTGGCTCTAATGTTAATATTGACAGTTGATATTTGTTCTTGTAGGTAATTATTGATATCGGTAATTTCATAAGCTCCAACTGGAATTGTTAGTGTCCTATTACAATACGTAAACTTATTGTTTGTTTCATCGATGTTTGGAATTACGTTGAAGGTTTCAAAATCTGATAGACCAACCACATATTCAGCGTCATCATCTAAGTATATTGGTGGGTTATAATCTGCACTTAAAATAGACGTATTTCCAGATAAAGCCAAAGTCAGAGACATGTTGAACAGTTAAATCTTTATTTATAATAAACAGATTTTTCTCAATTACATACATTATATAAAAATTTTAAACATAGGTGTCCACAGTTTATTGCATTATCCCATTGGAATTTATGATGATTATATTTGATTATATTTAAGCTACCATCGCTATAAAAATATTTTGTTACTGCATTCGGAGGTCTCAGATTACCATAACTATCAAAGTATAATATCGTCTTGTTTTTCTTTACGTATGCCGTCCAGTGAGTGCCTGGTCCAGACGAAATATCCAAATTAACTATACCACATTCGTTTCTTTTTATCTTTACTGGTAGGGCATCCTGCATGTACACTCCTCGGAAATGTGGAATACGTAACTTTTTAGCAAATTTAATTAAATCTACATTAGTCAGTGCACGACGAGGTAGCTTTATTGGGAGTTTTTTGATGGTAAATAAAGCCCCATTCCTTTCCTATAAGGACGCAGATATAAGCCTTTTCCAAGAGCAGCCTGTTCCATGACCAGATTATGTCTTTTTTCCTCCTCCATTTTTTCCTTTGCGGCTTTCGCATCGTTCACAGCTTTCGCTATTCCAGCAGCTCCACCGCCTATACTTCCAAGAGCACCTAATGCGGCAAATAGAGGAATGAGAGGAAGAAATCCACCAGTTTTGGGAATCGGAATTATCCGCTTTCGTGGCCTAGTTATCCTTTTCGTTCCTATTGATGATAGAGCTTGCTTTACTACTTCACCGAGGTTACTAGATGGTTTACCCCGAATACCCTGTCGAGCTTTTTGTACTGCTTGGTTAAAACTTAGAGCCTGACCTCGTTTACGTTTCACAAATTTCTTCTTCTTCTGTAATCCCATTCCTAGCTTAGTTTTGACTTTCATTGCATTGGCAACAGCCCACGCTGCAGTCTTTTCTCCGAAACTGGCGTCTTTAGATTTAACCCTCTCCCAGGCACGTTGTTCAAGGATGCGGTCTGCCTTATGACGATCTTCTATATTAGAGCTGTCACTGTATGATATGTCGTGAGCGAGGCATGCGTTATCCAAAGGATTAATGCCAGTATCACCCCTAGCAAGCCTTTTTTCAAGCTTGGTACCTGGTCCACAAAAGTTGTAACCAGGAATGTGTAGTTCTATCGGAAGTTTATTTATAAGCGTATTAAGAAACCCAGAACCTCTCTTTACTCGCTTTATCTGTCGATTAACTGCGGATAGGTTGGGCACAAGCATTTATATATGCTCTGGCGTGACACTTCAATACAACTGAATTTAATTGTTAGTTTTATACCTTATAAATACTTTACGTACTACGTCAACGTACAGTACATACAATTTTCCTTCAGAATGAGGATCGAGAAACAGAACATTTCGCTACCGGTAACCAATCACGATGATAATATTTCATTAAGTAGGTTTAAGAAACACGGCCCACTTTTTGGAGACTGTTCTAAGCGAGGACTCGTTGTTGGCGTTTCTGGGTCTGGTAAAACTAACGTCATAATAAGTTTATTGGCGCACCCAAATGGTTTGAGGTTTGAAAATGTATACGTTTACTCAAAATCCCTATACCAACCGAAATATGAGTATCTGAAACAGCTACTGGAACCCATCAAAGAGATTGGATACTATGAGTATCAAGATGGCAACGATGTCGTTCCTCCAAGTGAAATAAAACCCAATTCTATTATAAAGTGTTATGAGGGATTATTTTTGTTTTGGGCGACATAAAGATACAGACTGTTTCTATTTAAGTCAAACATACTCATCGATTCCAAAACAACTAATACGAGATAATGCAAACTTTTTGGCGATTTTCAAACAAGATCTCACTAATCTGAAACACATTTACGATGATCACGTCAACGTTGACATGTCTTTCCAAGAATTTAAATATATCTGTGGAGAATGTTGTTAAGATAGGTTTGGGTTCTTGCTTATAGACAAAAGCTATCCTTTGTCTAGAGGAAGATACAGAAAAGGCTTTGATGCTTTCATTGTTCTGTAGATCATAAATAAACACGGAATTATCGATGCCGCTCATTAACATGTCAACCATGAATAAGGAATTAGCTGAACTGAATCGCGGTCTTCCACACCAAAAAGCCACCACACCAATGAATATAAAGGACATCTATTTGGTTGACAAAGTACTGAAGAAAAAGGGAAATTTTTACTTAGTACAGTGGCTCGGACTTGGGACGTCGCACAATTCGTGGACTAATAAAAATGAATTAGTATAATGTGATGTAATATATTTTTAAATAAACTACACAATTTAACCTACAATATCTGTATTATTTTATAAAAGAAAAACTCTGTTCTGAAATATCCTACGTCTATGGTTCGCATGTAAAATTGGGTCTAGAATGATGGAAGAAGCTGCTATTCTCCTTTGGAAACGGTGTCGATCCACAGCAAAGATCTCCCAATATCTTTTTCGAGAAGCATTGTAGGCGTACGTCCACGCTACCATTAAATGCACTTGGTTGTTGCTTTCTTTAAAAATCACCTTTTTTCCATAATCGAAACCACAGAGTACAAATTTAGAAAATCTTACACCCATATATTTAAGGTATTAAAAACCACTTCTTCAATTAACGCCCACCCCAGCTGACGAATTAAGGAACCAATTTGACATTTGACAGTTTCACATAGTTTTAGTAATTAATAAATGTATGACGAGAACGGTGCATTTTTGCTTGTTATAATGTCAGATTCTGGGATAGACAATAACTCAAATTATTCATCCTACTGGACATATGTGCATGACATTATTTCAAAGTATGCAGAAGATATTAAAGAAGAGAAACTATTAATCAGCGAAATAAAATATTCACTATCAAATTCGACCATACAAGTCTCGACAGGAATTAGCGCAGCTATGGGGTTTGAACCTACCATCAGATTCAAAAGTTCGAGTGACGGTGACGTAATTTCTCTTATGGATGTGGACTGGTATGATTTTATCACCAAAATTAATATTATGCCGGATAATGACAAAGAAAAAGATTTCATCGAAACCGTTGTGGAACTTGAAAATTTCAAACTATCCAGTCAACTAGCCGCTGGAAGACATTGTTAACAGATATCCCTTCGAGCGTGCCTAAAGTAAAATAAATGTCAAAAATCCCGTCCTTAGCTTATAAATGAATAGGTGAACCAATGGGAAGTCAGCGTTCAGAACGAAGCGAGAGGCGGAGCCTACGTCTACCGCGAGGAAAAGTATATATATCAGTGTAGCAGTCAGTCGTAGAAGTTCTAAGCGACTAGCCGAACTATGCGGACGTAGTTTGTGCAGTGCAGTACTGAGTGTTAGTGCGAGGAACTGTGAGTGGAAGCCCACAAAACCTGTCTTTTACAAGACAAGTAATATTCTGCCTTTATTAAGGCACTCTATAGAAAGAATTCGGCAATTTTATATTGCAAAATTTCTACTAACGNGGGGAGGATATAACAAACCTTTCGCACCACCGTCGTATGATGGTAGGACGAGGCTGCGTAGTAGAGAGTAGCAGAAGGGAGACGTGTCGAAGGCGATATGTTTACATCTATTTGCTCTAATTGTAAAATTATTTGAGATACCTTTGATAATTAATGTCGTTGTCAATAAAGTTAGTTAGATGTTCTGTAAGTGCCTTCATTAAATGTTCGCAAAAATAAATCCATTATCCCTAGCGAGCAGCTGCCAGTTGTTCTGCTATACTCTTATATTTGTAAGACCACAGTACTCAAATTTACTCATATTTGAGGTTACCTTATTTTTCTTATCTGTCTGGAAGGCAACAACAATATCACTAGGCGTTCCCAACGGTGGTTTTCACGGGCTGAGTGTGCCTTGTAGTTTGTGTAAAGGAAGGGTACACGTCAAGTTCCCAACTTCTAAATGGAATCAATATTTCCACATTTTTATCTAAAATCTTAGTCAGGACCTACGGAAACGTGAGATACTCTCCAATAGATTTTTTCAATATTAATTTTAGGTTTTTCAGTCTCATCGATAGCCGTTACTACATCTAGATAATTTCTAGTTCGAATTAGAACCAGTTCCTGCTTCATATTTAGTATAATTTTTCTATAGTCTTCGAAAAAGCCCAGTAACATCTTAAGAGGAATGCATACATTAAACTTGTCACCTTCGAGTGTGCTTTGCTTGGGAAACCATCCAGCATTCTGAAGTTTAACGCTTTGGCTTTTTGGCAGTTAGAAAAGAGTTACAAACCCATAACAGAACCTTTACAAAAACTACTTTCCACCATTAAAACAGATGTGACAGTCAAGTAAGAACCCGCAGAAATCAAAACCGAATCGCGGTTTTCCACACCAAAAAGATTCAGTATTAACCCCTACAGCAACTATTTATCAATGAATATATCGAGTTTTTTAGAAGATACATACCAGTATGAGATGAAAAAAACCGCTGAAACAGATCAACAAAACAGTGACGAATTATTTAATAAGGAAATGGAGGAAAGTTGTATCTTTCTTCAAGGTCTTCAAACACACAAGCTAATAATGAATACCTAGAAATGTACCATCCTCTTCCAAGAAATGATATATATTTGTCTGTTAGGGGAGAAGAGACAGACAATGATCGTCAATATGGAGTGAAATATGACCTTGAAACGGAGAAGTTTAAAATTGAAGGCTCCGATTTAGAAATCATTGGAAAAAATTTGAAAGTAAATGGAGTAACATATGTTAGAACACCTGATCTATACGATGATCTTGATTGATCTTTAAAAAAAAGCCCGCTGAATATAAACAATCGGATTTGAATGATTACATGGATATTCTTAAGAGATCTAATGCGTATCGTAGACATTTTAATCTCGAAGAACAAATTCAAGGCTCGCAGGGCGAGCAATACAGGACAATTATAAGGCCCTCTTTGGTAAAGAAGGGACTATTGAAAACTGCTTCTATTCTTCCAAAACCATTCTCAAAGCCGCCCCCTCCCACCAGGCCACTGCGTAGAACTGAATCGTTAGAACACCATACGAAAGGTGGCCTGTTAAATTTAACAGATAATAAAATAGATTATGTGTACTACGGCGATCCTAGTGAGCTAATAAATAGATTACGTCTCCTAATCGCTTCACAATTAGCTGGAAATGACTCTGTGAGCAACGAAATTTTTTTTTATCATTGAGGAATTGACAGAAGCTAAAATTATAAAATAACCGTCAACATCCCCAATTGAACATTTTATATAAATATTAATTTGGTCGTCATATGTTAAGGGGCAATTCAGTTCTTTACTTCCAGACCATGTTAACCTCTTCACCACAGTCATTACTTTTTTATATTTGTAAACCTTTGTTAGATCATAGTAAAACCATAATAAAAATAAAAGGCCTGAAACAGCATTCTACGAAAGTGGGTCTATACACTTTGGACGACAATAGAAAGGAATATATGTTCCCGGTATCTGGAAAAATAGAAAAAGTGAAAATTCTACCGATTACTTGTCAAATGTTTTTGAATGGTGGTGCCGCTATTACATCGATTCAACTTAATCGTACAAATATAAATAAAGGCGGTAAGATCAAATTTATTACTGTTTCGAAAGAACCATCTTTATATGCGGAAATAGTTTCATAATGCCCTATAACAAAAAATGGTTAGTGAAATTAGAGAACAACTTGTAAAAGTGCTTCAAAACCGGGTAGAAAAAATTTTCGAAGACGTCATACGATCGTAAAGGGACTAAATGACCTTATTCAAGCTGATTTGGTAGAAATGATTCCTTATGCCAAGCTTAATAAAGGTTATCGATACATTCTTACAGTTATTAACGTATTTACCAAGTTTGTGTGGGCGGAACCAGTTAAACGGAAAACCGCTATAGATGTGACTAATGCAATGCAGAAAATTTTATCGAGAATGGAGAATGCTCCTCACAATTGTCAAACTGATATGGGAAAGGAATTTTATAGTAAGGAGTTTAAAGAATTGATGAATAAGTATAAAATCAAACACTACAGCACATACTCCACCTTGAAAGCAGCTGTTATAGAAAGACTAAACCGAACACTAAAAAATTTGATGTGGAAGCAGTTCAGTCTTCAAGGAACATACAAATGGATATCTGCTACAAGATGTTGTTCATCAGTATAATAACACTAAGCATCTATCAAAGTAAACAGGAGAAACGCCAAAAAGTTATTGCAAACTGCTTTTAGTCACCTAAAATCTGTCGATCGAAGACCTGCCAAGTTCAAATTAGGTAATTTCGTAAGAATCAGTAAATTTCGAGGAGCATTTCGAAAAGAATACGTCCCAAATTGGAGCAATTAAATCTTGAAAATAAGAAAAGTAAATTTAACTAACCCAACAATGTATCTATTAGATCAAAATTGAGAGGAAATTCAAGGTGCCTTCTACACCGAGGAGCTGCAAAATGTTAAATATAAGGATACTTATTTGGTTGACAAAATCCTGAAGTAAAAAGGAAATTTTAGTCTAATACGACGTAATATATTTTTAAATAAACAATTTAACCTATAATATCTGTATTATTTCATAAAAGGATTATAAATCTGTTTTCAAATATTCTACGTCTATGGTTCGCATCTAAAATTGGGTCGAGAATGATGGAAGAAGCTGCTATTCTCCTTTGGAAACAGTGTCGATCCACAGCAAAGATCTCCCAATATCTTTTTCGAGAAG